TACACATAGAATATTGAATGTAGTGGTAGATCCCAGCATCATCATGTGAGTTGAGAGTTGTACACATAGAATATTGAATGTAGTGGTAGATCCCAACATGTGAGCTGAGAGTTGTATGCATAGAATATTGAATTTAGTGGTAGTAAGTGACGGCGGAAGTGTGCTAAATTGGAAACCAGTATGCATAGTGAGTTTGTCCATCACTATGAGAAAGGAGTGCTTGCTTTCATTTCATTTCTTATTTCAGTTTACAGTTTAAATCTTTTTCTTCTTTTGCTTCGTAACTAAAATCAGGTTCACAAACTGTTCGCTCTTCTGAATTTATCTCATGCTTATGTCACAACATTGGGTCGACTGGCTGGGCTCGTCTCGCTCAAAGAGGTAACTATCTTCCCTTTCAATGCATTAGACTTCTTTCTCTTTCTTTCTTTCTTTTTTGTTTGTTTGTTTGTTTGTTTTGTTTTGTTTTGTTCGTAAAGAGATAAAATGGCTTGAATTACTTCCGTGTTCGTTCTTTCGTTCGTTCATCCGTTCATTCGCTCATTCGTTCGTTCATTCGTTCGTTCGTTCGTTCGTTCGTTCGTTCGTTCAGTCGTTCGTTCGTTCGTTCGTTCGTTCGTTCGTTCGTTCGTTCGTTCGTTCGTTCGTTCGTTCATTCATTCATTTATTTATTCTTACTGTTGTGCACTATAGGTTCGACAAGCGATCGAGGGAGAAAATTACTTTGATTCAACAGACGTCAATACCTCGTCACCAGACCCTCTCGAATTCAACGACTTATCTCTTGAGACAAGGCAGGATGTAATGCTGGAGTCCAAGCCATCAAGATCTCCCAATAAAGTACCTCATGAGCAATCACCCAAGCTATAGGTGCCAATAACCTCATGGTTAATACATTTAAGATCATTATATTTTCTAATGAGTCTTTTGGCGTTTCAAGCCATTTATTATTCCCTTACCGATAGTGCGGGAGGTAAGGCTGGATTTCATTCTAGCAAACAATTGTAATGCCACTACAAGCGATAGGATTTTTTTCGTATTCAACTCTAATCTTCGTAACGAGGAACGTGTTATTTACTTTGCAACCTGATAACTAGACGAAATGGAGAGCCAATAGAAAAGAAATGAAAAAGAAAGAAAAGAAAAAAGAAAAGAAAAGGAGAAGAAAAATATATAAAAAGAAAAGCGTAGAAAGTGAATTTCAAGCTGTTTTATATTGTAGATATCATTTTCATATAAGCTGAATTATTCAAAGTATATCCTGGTGTTGGGGGTCATCTTCTTAAGTTGCAAAATCAGTGAAATTTCGTTTTGAGGCAGGGTTTTCTATTTCGTCAGTGAATTTTGATGTAGATCCATTATAATAATCTGTCTGAAGCAGGTCTAGACAAGAGTAATTTAGGGTAGGGAGGAGGTTGTTGTGCTCTTAACGACTCTAGGGGAGGGGAAGGTAAGGGGAAGATGACTTCTATTACAAGGTCATAACGGAGTGTCTTTATGGCCCGGTAGATCTGCGCTCTCCTACTCAAAATTGTGGATAGCATAGATAGCATATATATTTTATAGTTTAACAAAATTTATTACTTTGTATATAAAAAAAGATATATAACCTAAAATGAACTTAATAATACATTACAGCCGAACCTTTGTAATTGACTGACATCGAAGTAAAGGAACAGTGTTCGTATTATAGAGGTCTGTTTATAGCTTCAAAGGTCAAACCCATCTAATACGACCATCGAAGTAAAGGAACAGTGTTCGTATTATAGAGGTCTGTTTATAGCTTCAAAAGTCAAACCCCTCTAATACAACCACCGAAGTAACGGAACAGTGTTCGTATTATAGAGGTCTGTTTATAGCTTCAAAAGTCAAGCCCTTCTAATACGACCACCGAAGTAACGGAACAATGTTCGTATTATAGAGGTC